TTGGTTACTGCTGTATCCTCAGTGCCTAGTAAACTGATCAGAATATTTGTGGAATGAATGCGGGAATGAATGAAGAAATGAATGAGCTGAGTGCTGTAATGGAGTTAGACCATGGGGAGAACCATTCAGCTTTGCATGGGGATATAAGGAAGGCTTCCAGAGAGGTGTTATTTGAATGGACTCTTGGATAGGGTAGGTACTTGCCAAGGAAAGAGGAAGTGAGGGACAGAAGGGCCAATATGTACAAGGCCCAGAGGCATGAACAGCTCTGCCCATTGAGAGGAGGGCCAGGCCCAGATCCAGAAGAATGGAAATATAGAAACAGTGGAGGGAAATGAGGTCCAAGAGGTTGGGGGCCAGATTGTGCCTGGCCTTGAAGACTGTGCCTAGGAGCCTGAACTTTATCTCAGGAGAAACAGGATACTCCTGAAGGCCTTCAGGCAAGGGAATGAACGTGATCACATTTGGGCAAAGATCGTGAGAAACTTATAAAGCGATGAAGAGGGCCATTCTCTTATTTAAAATTCTCTGCTCCCCACCAACCTTGGAACTGGTCCCTATCCTAAAGAGCACCTAGCCTTTAATGGACTGGCCTGATTTTTTTCTGCAGCCTCCTCATTCCCTCCACTTACTCATAACAACCTCTGCTACTAGCATGCCAAGTCCAGGCAGATCCCGAACATGCCATGGAATGTCAGACCTCCATGTCAAAAGAGACTTGCTTACGGTCAGATGTGCAGGAAAAGCCTGTCACGTCTCATTTGGGGGCTCCTTCTACTCTGCCACATGCTTAAAGTAAACTCATAAAGTGCCCATGATGGGTGGTAGGTGCTTTCCTGTTTGGGTATTGTCACAGAGTGAGCGCTTATTAATACTAGCTCAAGATTTTCCTCCATCCAGGGAAGAGGTCTCCATCTTAGGGGCTTCTCCAATGTCAGCTCCCCAGGCTGGTAAGGGCAATGATCTTGGCCCAGTTTTGGCCCTGGGCCTTGTGGGATCACCCCCAACAAACTAGCATCTGTGCCTACCATCCCCAACAGGGGAAAAAATCACATAGTTAGGCCTGGACATTCCAGTTTAAATGTTGACAAGGCCACACACACGGAACTAAACCACATGGTCGTACTAAAGACTCTGAAAGAAGGCCACCTCCTGGAGTTTCTCACATATAGCAGTAGCTTCTGGCAGCTTCCAAGGGAGATGTTATTCCTGTCATTTATGAGAGCAGAGAACAGTAATACTGCACACCCTTCAGAAGCTCCTCCTGCCATTGATGGGCAGAATAGGATTTGATTCCCCTCCCTTCCTTTGTGTCTACCCCCAAACTCCATCCCAGAACAAACAAACTGAGAGAGAGCTCAGTGGTAAGAAAATTTCTTTCTTTTTTTTTTTTAATCTATTAGCAAATAACAGCACAGCTATGGTATGAGGTCAGCTCAATATTAGCAAGAGAAAGATGTGTTTGTTTTATAGGTGTGTTCATTTCAGAAGCATCTTACCCTGCCCTCTAGCTCCACTGAGGGGCATACTTACTAGACTTGACTAACGAGCTAGGATCAAGTGAGAGGGGCAGAGGGGCAACACTGTGTATGAGGAGCGGATGGGGGATGGTACTTGTTAGTGAAGGAGACCAAAAAGAGAAGTCTCCCATATACTGAGTGAAGCTTGGACCCTAGGTGACTGGATGGAAAAATAAAATGTTTTTCAGTATCTAGAGCTGCTCTATTCTGTAATACAGTAGCCTCTAACCACATGTGGCTATTGAGCACTTGCAATGTGACTTGTCTGAGTGGAGGTGTGCTGTATATATAAGGTAAACACATTTTGAAGACTTAGTATAAAAAAGAATGGGGGCGCCTGGGTGGCGCAGTCGGTTAAGCGTCCGACTTCAGCCAGGTCACGATCTCGCGGTC